GTATTGGTAAGGTCCCGTGAAGGGCAGAAATAAGTAAGGTAGAATTCAGTATTGGTAAGGTCCCGTGAAGGGCAGAAATAAGTAAGGTAGAATTCAGTATTGGTAAGGTCCCGTGAAGGGCAGAAATAAGTAAGGTAGAATTCAGTATTGGTAAGGTCCCGTGAAGGGCAGAAATAAGTAAGGTAGAATTCAGTATTGGTAAGGTCCCGTGAAGGGCAGAAATAAGTAAGGTAGAATTCAGTATTGGTAAGGTCCCGTGAAGGGCAGAAATAAGTAAGGTAGAATTCAGTATTGGTAAGGTCCCGTGAAGGGCAGAAATAAGTAAGGTAGAATTCAGTATTGGTAAGGTCCCGTGAAGGGCAGAAATAAGTAAGGTAGAATTCAGTATTGGTAAGGTCCCGTGAAGGGCAGAAATAAGTAAGGTAGAATTCAGTATTGGTAAGGTCCCGTGAAGGGCAGAAATAAGTAAGGTAGAATTCAGTATTGGTAAGGTCCCGTGAAGGGCAGAAATAAGTAAGGTAGAATTCAGTATTGGTAAGGTCCCGTGAAGGGCAGAAATAAGTAAGGTAGAATTCAGTATTGGTAAGGTCCCGTGAAGGGCAGAAATAAGTAAGGTAGAATTCAGTATTGGTAAGGTCCCGTGAAGGGCAGAAATAAGTAAGGTAGAATTCAGTATTGGTAAGGTCCCGTGAAGGGCAGAAATAAGTAAGGTAGAATTCAGTATTGGTAAGGTCCCGTGAAGGGCAGAAATAAGTAAGGTAGAATTCAGTATTGGTAAGGTCCCGTGAAGGGCAGAAATAAGTAAGGTAGAATTCAGTATTGGTAAGGTCCCGTGAAGGGCAGAAATAAGTAAGGTAGAATTCAGTATTGGTAAGGTCCCGTGAAGGGCAGAAATAAGTAAGGTAGAATTCAGTATTGGTAAGGTCCCGTGAAGGGCAGAAATAAGTAAGGTAGAATTCAGTATTGGTAAGGTCCCGTGAAGGGCAGAAATAAGTAAGGTAGAATTCAGTATTGGTAAGGTCCCGTGAAGGGCAGAAATAAGTAAGGTAGAATTCAGTATTGGTAAGGTCCCGTGAAGGGCAGAAATAAGTAAGGTAGAATTCAGTATTGGTAAGGTCCCGTGAAGGGCAGAAATAAGTAAGGTAGAATTCAGTATTGGTAAGGTCCCGTGAAGGGCAGAAATAAGTAAGGTAGAATTCAGTATTGGTAAGGTCCCGTGAAGGGCAGAAATAAGTAAGGTAGAATTCAGTATTGGTAAGGTCCCGTGAAGGGCAGAAATAAGTAAGGTAGAATTCAGTATTGGTAAGGTCCCGTGAAGGGCAGAAATAAGTAAGGTAGAATTCAGTATTGGTAAGGTCCCGTGAAGGGCAGAAATAAGTAAGGTAGAATTCAGTATTGGTAAGGTCCCGTGAAGGGCAGAAATAAGTAAGGTAGAATTCAGTATTGGTAAGGTCCCGTGAAGGGCAGAAATAAGTAAGGTAGAATTCAGTATTGGTAAGGTCCCGTGAAGGGCAGAAATAAGTAAGGTAGAATTCAGTATTGGTAAGGTCCCGTGAAGGGCAGAAATAAGTAAGGTAGAATTCAGTATTGGTAAGGTCCCGTGAAGGGCAGAAATAAGTAAGGTAGAATTCAGTATTGGTAAGGTCCCGTGAAGGGCAGAAATAAGTAAGGTAGAATTCAGTATTGGTAAGGTCCCGTGAAGGGCAGAAATAAGTAAGGTAGAATTCAGTATTGGTAAGGTCCCGTGAAGGGCAGAAATAAGTAAGGTAGAATTCAGTATTGGTAAGGTCCCGTGAAGGGCAGAAATAAGTAAGGTAGAATTCAGTATTGGTAAGGTCCCGTGAAGGGCAGAAATAAGTAAGGTAGAATTCAGTATTGGTAAGGTCCCGTGAAGGGCAGAAATAAGTAAGGTAGAATTCAGTATTGGTAAGGTCCCGTGAAGGGCAGAAATAAGTAAGGTAGAATTCAGTATTGGTAAGGTCCCGTGAAGGGCAGAAATAAGTAAGGTAGAATTCAGTATTGGTAAGGTCCCGTGAAGGGCAGAAATAAGTAAGGTAGAATTCAGTATTGGTAAGGTCCCGTGAAGGGCAGAAATAAGTAAGGTAGAATTCAGTATTGGTAAGGTCCCGTGAAGGGCAGAAATAAGTAAGGTAGAATTCAGTATTGGTAAGGTCCCGTGAAGGGCAGAAATAAGTAAGGTAGAATTCAGTATTGGTAAGGTCCCGTGAAGGGCAGAAATAAGTAAGGTAGAATTCAGTATTGGTAAGGTCCCGTGAAGGGCAGAAATAAGTAAGGTAGAATTCAGTATTGGTAAGGTCCCGTGAAGGGCAGAAATAAGTAAGGTAGAATTCAGTATTGGTAAGGTCCCGTGAAGGGCAGAAATAAGTAAGGTAGAATTCAGTATTGGTAAGGTCCCGTGAAGGGCAGAAATAAGTAAGGTAGAATTCAGTATTGGTAAGGTCCCGTGAAGGGCAGAAATAAGTAAGGTAGAATTCAGTATTGGTAAGGTCCCGTGAAGGGCAGAAATAAGTAAGGTAGAATTCAGTATTGGTAAGGTCCCGTGAAGGGCAGAAATAAGTAAGGTAGAATTCAGTATTGGTAAGGTCCCGTGAAGGGCAGAAATAAGTAAGGTAGAATTCAGTATTGGTAAGGTCCCGTGAAGGGCAGAAATAAGTAAGGTAGAATTCAGTATTGGTAAGGTCCCGTGAAGGGCAGAAATAAGTAAGGTAGAATTCAGTATTGGTAAGGTCCCGTGAAGGGCAGAAATAAGTAAGGTAGAATTCAGTATTGGTAAGGTCCCGTGAAGGGCAGAAATAAGTAAGGTAGAATTCAGTATTGGTAAGGTCCCGTGAAGGGCAGAAATAAGTAAGGTAGAATTCAGTATTGGTAAGGTCCCGTGAAGGGCAGAAATAAGTAAGGTAGAATTCAGTATTGGTAAGGTCCCGTGAAGGGCAGAAATAAGTAAGGTAGAATTCAGTATTGGTAAGGTCCCGTGAAGGGCAGAAATAAGTAAGGTAGAATTCAGTATTGGTAAGGTCCCGTGAAGGGCAGAAATAAGTAAGGTAGAATTCAGTATTGGTAAGGTCCCGTGAAGGGCAGAAATAAGTAAGGTAGAATTCAGTATTGGTAAGGTCCCGTGAAGGGCAGAAATAAGTAAGGTAGAATTCAGTATTGGTAAGGTCCCGTGAAGGGCAGAAATAAGTAAGGTAGAATTCAGTATTGGTAAGGTCCCGTGAAGGGCAGAAATAAGTAAGGTAGAATTCAGTATTGGTAAGGTCCCGTGAAGGGCAGAAATAAGTAAGGTAGAATTCAGTATTGGTAAGGTCCCGTGAAGGGCAGAAATAAGTAAGGTAGAATTCAGTATTGGTAAGGTCCCGTGAAGGGCAGAAATAAGTAAGGTAGAATTCAGTATTGGTAAGGTCCCGTGAAGGGCAGAAATAAGTAAGGTAGAATTCAGTATTGGTAAGGTCCCGTGAAGGGCAGAAATAAGTAAGGTAGAATTCAGTATTGGTAAGGTCCCGTGAAGGGCAGAAATAAGTAAGGTAGAATTCAGTATTGGTAAGGTCCCGTGAAGGGCAGAAATAAGTAAGGTAGAATTCAGTATTGGTAAGGTCCCGTGAAGGGCAGAAATAAGTAAGGTAGAATTCAGTATTGGTAAGGTCCCGTGAAGGGCAGAAATAAGTAAGGTAGAATTCAGTATTGGTAAGGTCCCGTGAAGGGCAGAAATAAGTAAGGTAGAATTCAGTATTGGTAAGGTCCCGTGAAGGGCAGAAATAAGTAAGGTAGAATTCAGTATTGGTAAGGTCCCGTGAAGGGCAGAAATAAGTAAGGTAGAATTCAGTATTGGTAAGGTCCCGTGAAGGGCAGAAATAAGTAAGGTAGAATTCAGTATTGGTAAGGTCCCGTGAAGGGCAGAAATAAGTAAGGTAGAATTCAGTATTGGTAAGGTCCCGTGAAGGGCAGAAACAAGTAAGGTAGAATTCAGTGGATGTAGTCATAGGGATGAAAATGAGTAGGAAAACAAGAAATATTGGAATGATTGTCAAGATATTTTCAGGAACTACTTGTAAGGCCATTTTTACAGCTGTTAATGGTTAATGTTCCTACAGGGTTGTGACGCAAAACTTCCCTTATTTTTTATCACATTACTTCTGAGTTTTATCCAAAATTTCCCCATTCCAAACTTTTAAAAAATGCTTTAATTATATCAATAGAAAAGGCTACTATCTTTTTTTACACTTGGAAGTACAGTATTATATAATTAATACTATTTATTTTACTATTTTTATCGTCATTGTCAGTAACAAGTTGTTTTTGTTCCATCAGAACATTTTCATGAATATCCCATTCAGTTGTGTTAACCCTATTTTTTCATCTTGAAAAAAATCAGTCGAAAATTACAAGTGACAACAGTTATTTTTACATATTTCTCCCATATTCTTATGTGCAACCAAATAAATAACTTTCTTTGCCCTTCTTTCAAAAACGCTAGCCCTATGACAGATTCCTATATGTCAAAAAAAGGTCATATTTTCCTCTAAACCCAAGATTAATTCCAGATGTTCCTCTAGTACAATGCTTTATAATACGTGTGAATCCTACATATACGATCATGTAAACAGGACGTAGAAGGAAAAAAAACATTTGTAACAAACCTACATGTTGCCCTACCTAACAAGCATCTGATACAGATCTTCATGCATGAACATTGAATATCACTGCATACAAACCCACTGGATGTAAACGAAATTATACGAACAACCTGATACAGATATTTATTACTCAATAGGCAAAGAAAATATAAAAACAATGAATATATCAACAGAACTCTTGAGTTGTAAATAAATGATAACTTTCAAGCTAATGAAAAAAAAAATATATATGAAAAGAGAATACACAAAATTTAAAAAGGGAAGAAAGTTAAGGGCTATCTACTGTAATATACAGGTATATATAGGAACACTAATTACATGTCTATATAGGCGTATTCAAACACTTACTTTGAATATTCCGGTACCCTGGAAAAGTTAGCCAAAGTACAGGTTGAAATATACCCGGTATATATACATCAACTCAATTATCTTTAGGTTTGATTTTAGAAATTCGGCATTTGAGGTAATTAAGGATTCTACTCAAACACTGGTGCACCCAAGAATTTTGAAAACACAAGTCGAATGCTTATTATAAAATTCAGGGTTTTATCTGTGCCTCATTTTTCTATAATTTCCATAAGCCATCTATTTGGCGTTGGTAGTTGGACAACTACTACAACCAGCAGAGCTATAGGTGCCAAGTGCCATCCCTCAGGATGATAAACCAGTTAAATAACTGGGAAATTAATTTGGAAATAGGATAAAGAGAGCTTCATGTCTCTGCTGGGGTGAAAAAACAGTCAAAATATAAGGTACATGTTCCTGGTATGTTGTTTGAGGAATAACGTGTCATTCGCCCTCGCCTGGCACGTGCACCATATTTACGCAAAGCTGCATTTCTAAATGTTTGAAAAACAACCATTTAAAATGATGAATCACACCATCAAGAGATTAAATAAAAGAATCACTTCTAATACACCATATACAGTACAGACATTGTATTTGTTTTATATTGACATTTTGCTGCAATGCTACTATATGAACAAAAACGCTTTGTTTTGGGTTACAAGACTATGAACCAAAATGAGGAACATGGCCAAAAAGTAAACAAACAATACGAAAGTCATGTTTGACTCTCATTTTGAATTTCATGGCAAGAATATTACTATTCGCCCATCAAACCAAAGCAATAATATTAAAATAACTATACTCTATGACTCTTAGTTATGGATATGCACTGTCAAAACCTAGACCATTGATCTGTAGGACTGATGTGTCATAACATAGTACATTCCACTATCTACTGACCCCATTATACATCTTTTTTAATGTACAACCAAAACTTCCATAATACAACATAAACCATTTTGTTCAGAATTAAGCTCAGCATCCAATATATCCTTTAACATTACAACAGGGGTATTCCTGAGTAATTTACTAAATAACAATATTAGCATCAGTCCTTATATGGTATCGGTCAATTAATTATTCCTTAGATGGTGTTTTGTCAATTAATCAGTCCTTAATGATAAGTTATCATACAATGTACATGTCGTTTGTTTAGACACCTACCTCTCCTTCTTCATACTGGATCTTGACCGATTTCTGCCCGGTGTAATTTTCCAAAAGTTCTGCGCCCCGCCACACAACCTCTGAGTCTGGGATCCATACCCGAGCTCCCTACAACATCGAAATTTGAGTTATTTTAAGAATAGTCAACACAAAAAAATCTGACAATATCAAAATAATATTTTAAGAAATCATGTGCCCTAAACAGTAAGGATAAGTTTTACAGTGCCCCTTAAAACATTGAGAGGTTTGGTGGTGCAGTGGATATAACGCACTTGCCTTTCACCAAAGCAACCAGGAGTTGACTTCCCGATCGGACATGAAAAGGTATTGGGTCACCTGCCAACCAGGTTGGTTTTCTCTGGGAACTCGCACATTAAGACCCCCAACTTGCTTATATCTTGGCCAACAAGAGTGATTAATATTAAATTTGAAATAACTTGTTTCATAATCGTTTTAAAATAAATAAAGTTTATATTTTTTTAAATCATTGAAAATAGAAAGGATCATACAGCATAACCAGTAATTGTTTATGTGTGATGTTTCAATGACTAGTACAGTACGTACACTGTCACCTTTATCAGACAAATGACCAGTGAAGTGTATGTTCACAACGATGTAAAATATGTATACCTATCAGTTGGCAATATAAAACTGATGAAGATTCAACTAGTGAACTTCTTTGCTATTCATGTATGAAATGATGAATCAAACCGACAAATCGATTTGCCAATGCTTTGTTAAAAATGACTTTGGATGTGTTTCTAGTATATATGTACATATACAAGAATTATGAAACTCATCCTAAAGTTTTCTTTTTAATTCTGCACCGACTTGCTAAAATGAAAACTGTTAGACTTTTTGGATTGTAAAAAGTCAAAGGCAAACTTATTAATGACCCTGTATATTCATAAAGAAGACGGACATCTGAATCGATACCGATTAAAACACATCAGCTGTGAATTCCTTCTTAACTAAACTGCACAGACAATTAAAATATAAAATGATGGTACACAAAAAGTCTTAAACGCTCGCTTTATAATTGCTTACCTTTGTATATAAAACATTTATATCCTGTTCTTTCAAAAACGATTGAAACAAAAATCGGGAATATATATCTCCATGATTGCTCGCCTTGTATTTAGACATTACGGATCACAATACCAGCCATATTTCCGTCAAATCACCCTTGGTCGTAATTTCCATTTTCCACACTAATTGTGCCGTAATAGGGTACACACTGTTTCAAAGGTTACTGTAATTTTCCCCGCGTAGGATTAAATGTTCTCGATGAAATTTCCTCGATTTATGTGGGCTGGTTCATAGTATAATGATGGTGAACTTTCCTTGTTATGTATAACTTATCGTATTATTGTAAATTAGTCCTGTGACGAATACAACTAACATATAACGCCCAGCTGAATAACTCTTGTTTGCACTACATTTTGCAATGTTACTCCAAACACACAACTCCGGGAATACAAATTTGACAATTTTGAGAATATGTCAGGATTTTTGAAAAATATTTTTCTAAATACCATCACATATTGTGATGTCATTGTTAAATTTATTCAATTTTTTTTTTAGGAAATCACATGGATTTTTGTAAAAAGTGTTTCTCTCCCTCAGCATGTGAAATGGACTAAACCACCAGGGAAAATTACAGAAATACTTTATTAGATACATCACAGTTTAACAGTGATCACAGGACGTCTAATATGAGGGCTGCCGTCAAAACCGTTTCATCCTTTGTCATTGATACAGCTATACCAGCACGGACAACCAACACGATGTATCAATGTACCACAGTAACAGGTGATATCACAAGACGGTCAGTGGAAAGCAACTAACACAAGGGTGGTAAAATATATCTTATGGATATAGTTGGATAAAATTCTATGCTTTATTAATTAATTGGGATGAAATTATTGGGATTTATAATTACTATATGATAACATTTTCTAAACTCTGTTTTCTCTTCAATTACTTGCATCTTAAGGATTTTATTTGATTTATTTAAAAAAATGTAACTTCACCGCTACATGCATGCAATAAATAGGTATTATAAAGTAAACCCTGCAATATAAGTGATACTAGCAAGATTTATATTTTGTGCAGGACTTTTATCATGTATTATAGACCCTTGATAGTGTGTTATGAATACTTAAAATCTGCTTCGACTCTTGTGTTTGAAGGGATATACCTTTATTGTCTCCAGATTTCAAGAAATGATTACCGGTATTAAAATTGCAAGCTTCTGAAATTGCTCAAAATCAAAGGGCAACTGAATGCCCTCGTTCTACATTGTAAATTGTTGGTAAAAGAATACATAGTTTGTTAGTCAATGTATTTCCTTATAATTTCAAATGAGAATTGTAAAGTTTAATTTTTGAATTTATATTTTTGTTTGATTTATTTCAAATTGTTATGTAAATGCTATGAACTTGAAGAATACCATAAACAATGAAATGTATGACAAATCATGGATGAATTTCTCGGTATGTATATTTATATGTATGAACATAAGTAATTATACAAATGAACTGAAATGAAGTAAACATATAAACTGTTAACATATAATCATCATTTAATTCTACACCAGTCAACATATTAATACGTGAAATGGCCTTAATGTACCTCAGCTCAATTTAAAAGAATCCCATTTTTTTCAATACAAATTTTAAAAGCACTTCAGCTTATATATGGGCTATTTTTGTCCATTTACATATTTACAAACATGTTTTTTAACATTTCAATCTTATACATATTAATTTATTCCAATCTTGGTTTACTAGCTAGGTAAGGCCATTTTACTTTCGGGGATGTAGGTTGGTGTTGATTTCATGCTGAACAATCACATGACAGAAAATTGACCATGTGATGACAATTACGGTCATGTGAAAGGTTTCACATTTTGTCTCACCTGGCCCGTTCTTACCTACCTATGTAAAATCTTCATTGTAAACATCAGCTTTTAAATCTTACACATTGTAACAAATGTTACACATTCTTAAAATTGTTGCTGATAAAAACTTGCAAGACAGAAATTGGTATGGTTATAATGTATAACATTTATTTTTGTAAGAAGAGCTTGAAGAAGAGTTCAAAGAGCAAAAGTTTGCATCCCAGTTTAAGTGACCAATTGTAGGTTTTGCCTTTGACTTTAGTGACTGTATTAATTCTCGACTGTTGATGGACATGCTGACCTTTCATAGGTCTATGGGGGATGACTGAAACGTTCTTATAATGACAACTATTAGACAAAATAATAGTGCAAACTGCCCTAGTTTAAGCTGTTGTATACAGTGAACTATATTTTTTAATCACTTCCAAGCAAAAAGTAAGGTGTAAGTGATTTAATTCATTTAAATTGAACTTTGAGGTAAAATATTTAGAGTGCCACCCCTCCCACCTCCCTAAAAAGTGACAAACATGGCAGGTCCATTTAATGATGTCTAGATTCAGAGAATCTTGGGTTTTAATCCTAATATATAATGTATATCCCAATTTTCACCGTTTATTAATAACAAGAGGCCCATGACAGAGGGCCTGTATCGCTCACCTGTTTCTTAGGTTACATGAAACTGACATATAGGTAACTTAAGACCAAATTTGGTAACTAGAACACGAGACATTTTAACATCTCTTAAACACTTGTTTCAAATTTCAAATTTTAATTTTAAAGCTTTTAACCCAGGTTGACCTTTGACTCCGGCTAGCACTTAAAGTTGACCTTTGACCTCATTACTGAATTAAAGAAAATATGCACTGCTGGTCTATATAGCTTCATAACATACCCAAGTATCCTGACTCTAGACCAAATGCTTATTAGGATATCGTTGTTTGAAGTTTTTAACATATTTGACCCCTGTGACCTTGAAACTAGGTCAAGGTCATTTTAATGAGGAAACTTTATAGCATTCCATTTAAGGTACCTACTGGCCAAATATCATGACCCTGGGCCTTATGGAACTTGAGAAGATTGTTACAGCTTTTAACCAATGATGGCATTTGACCCCTGACTAGCACTTGAAGTTGACATTTGGCCTCATTACTGAATTAAAGAAAATATGCACTGCTGGTCTATATAGCTTCATAACATACCCAAGTATCCTGACTCTAGACCAAATGCTTATTAGGATATCGTTGTTTGAAGTTTTTAACATATTTGACCCCTGTGACCTTGAAACTAGGTCAAGGTCATTTTAATGAGGAAACTTTATAGCATTCCATTTAAGGTACCTACTGGCCAAATATCATGACCCTGGGCCTTATGGAACTTGAGAAGATTGTTACAGCTTTTAACCAATGTTGGCATTTGACCCCTGACTAGCACTTGAAGTTGACATTTGACCTCATTACTGAATTAAAGAAAATATGCACTGCTGGTATATATAGCTTCATAACATACCCAAGTATCCTGACTCTAGACCAAATGCTTATTAGGATATCGTTGTTTGAAGTTTTATACATATTTGACCCATGTGACCTTGAAATAGGTCAAGGTCATTTTAATGAGGAAACTTTATAGCACTCCATTCAAGGTACCTACTGGCCAAATATCATGACCCTGGGCCTTATGGAACCTGAGAAGATTGTTACAGCTTTTAACCAATGTTGGCATTTGACCCCTGACTAGCACTTAAAGTTGACCTTTGACCTCATTACTGTAATTAAGAAAACTATTTGCACTGCTGGTCTACATAACATACCCAAGCATCATGACTCTAGTCCAAATAGTTCTTAGGATATTGTTGTTGAAGTTTTCAACATATTTGACCCTTGTGACCTGGAAAGTAGATCAAGGTCATTTTAATGAGGAAACTTTATAGCACTTCATCCCAGGTATCTACTGGCCAAATATCATAGTTCTTCAGAAGAAGTCGTTCAAAAGAAAAAGTTGACGGACAGAGGACGGGCGGACGACGGACGTCATAAGCTCACACGGCCCTTACGGCCAGGTGAGCTAATAAGGGCCCTTATTAACTGTGTACTTTGTGTGGGAGTACATGCTACTTCTAATCTTATTGAATATTGAAACATGTGTAAATCAAAATAAACTAAAAACTAAATGATCGGACACAATTTTATGTAGTTTGGAAGATTATCTGCTAATTGATAAATATCTTAAACTTAACAAGTCTCCTAATGGAAAGAGTATATGTGTATATTTAATCACCAAATATTTCAACAAACTGAGTGACAGAGTTCTCACTAAGGAAGGAAATAGATGGTTCCCTCACTTAAAAAGAATAGCTTGCTGAATGCCATAATGTTGACCTCTACATATTCTGAAAAAGGTCACTCACGACAGGTTCAAAGATGATAATTAAATAACAGGCTACTTTTACCTGCTATCGTCTTTTTATGAGAACACTGCATTATAAGTCATATGTATTAAACATACTTGCCAACTTTTTGAAATTTCCTTTTTCGTAATTTCCAAATTCATCTTTTGAAATGCTCAATTTTCTGGTCCAAAATAAGGAGAGTTGGCAAGTATGACTTAAATACCCCAATTAAACATTATAATTCAGATATATGTCATTTGGAATATATTGAACTAGTTTTTTAACAATTGAAAAGGTAGACAACTTTAATTTAGTCTGGAATGTCGAGGCACATAGGCCGATGTCTTTATAGAACAATAGTTTTCTGGCATTTTAATAACATGTCAATATTTTACAGCCCAGCTGAATGTTACAAAATGACATACATATTTTGTACTACCTTAAGTCTTTTACCATACATATAGAGGTCATGTGAACTGTAGTTTTCCTTTTCCTAGCTGTGGAGAGGTTATATCAGCTTCAGACCAAGATGGTTGTAGTTTTGTGAAACCACAAGAATTGTAGTGAAAATGCTACGACAAATATTTTACCAGTTTATTAATGTAAAACCGAGGCCCTTGTGACCATGATAAATAATAAAGCATTATATAAAGTGGGCTTTTGTAACATTAAGTGTTGCTATAAAAATGCTAGACATGATATAAACATCATTGTGCTTTTTATTTACAATGCTCATGACATGTCTAGGTTATTTATAACATCACAAATGAAACGGCACGTACATCATCTAAAGTTCATTTAAAATAATAATAATAATATACAACATTTATATAGCGCCCTATATAATTTGTAAAATTACTCTAAAGCGCTTTACAACATATGGATAATAGTAATGGTTATAATTGTGAAAACTAAAAACAAAGGCTTACAATCACTTTCATACAATAAAGCAAGCAATGTGCACATAAATGAACAAATAAAAGGGTGGTATTTAATGACGTCTTTGCAAAGATTCTAAAATGCAGACGTGAAGAGGTGAGTTTTGATGTCCCTCTTGAACTTGGCCAGGGTATTTGACTTTCTAATAGCAGATGGTAAGCTATTCCACAATGTAGACGAAACCCTCCCCAAGCATGTTCCGTAGGTCACAGTACGAGATTTTGGGACACACAACAAAGATTCTGACTCCGACCGCAGTGATCATGACAGCTGATACAGGGTAACAAGCTCCTGTAGGTACTGAGGAGCTGTTCCATCCAGTGCCTTGTATGTGTACACCAGAATTTTGTACTGCTACCTGTATCGTAACCAGATTTATAAATCTAGGTTATTAACAGCTTTCACTTCTTATTCATAATCTGCTAAGATACATTACCAGGGCAATTTTGATACTTTGATTTTAGTGGTTTGGAATATATTCGCAGCAAATATATGCATTTCAACAGCTAGTGAAAAAGAAATTCAGCTCCGAATACAGGGTTCTAGACACTAACTGTTTTTGTTTGGTAGTCCACAGGACTAGTTGAATAGATTACTTACTAGTCCTTTGTCAATAAAAAAAATGTGATCTACAGCACGAAACATCAAAAGTAATTGACTGTAGGAGACAACTACTACCATAAATATATGGTAAAGTTTTAAGAAAATTTTGACAATCATGCAATGATTATAATTATCTTATTCTTAGCAGTTTTCTAAAAATTTAAAATGAAATGTTCTTATTTTATAACCATATTTTTCACAAGTCCAAAGGACCAGTTAGGTTTGGTGGTTCACTAGTCCTTGCTGAAATCTACTAGTCCAGGACCACAGGACAAGTGTTAGTGTCGACCCCTGCATATATGTCTTAAGTATAGAAATGAACTATAGATAATGTCATTTTGTGTGTAGCATTTAAGTTTGTCAGAAAGAGATTGGCACATTATTATGCCAGTAAACTATTTTTAAGACATCTGCCTTAATGTCTTATCATCAACTTAATCAAAATGTGTATGAACCATGGCAAAAATTCTCCAAATGAGATCAAAGGGAATATATGCCAGACCCCAAGGCCAATCCTTGTAGCATATCTGTATAAGTTTTTACATGCCCAGCAATTTTATGTATGGTTATGGGGTGGGGATCTCAACTGTTTCTTAGCTGTGACTCAAAAAACTAGGTCCCTAGGGTTGTGGCCAGACCCCAGGATCAATTATAATATCATGACTGCATTCGTCTCTTTTTGCCCAGCATTTGTATTTATAGTTTTGGGGTGGGGATCTTAACCATTTCAAAGTTATGACCAAGGGGTTAAGTCTCCAAGGGTGGGGCAATCCCCAAGGCCATAATTGAAGCATTCGGACCAGGTGTGCTGAGAAGTGAGAAGTTAAAAACAAGTTTAATATATATCCATTAATTAAATATCTGAATTTGGGGGTTTAATTCAGGTCCAGTACACTCTGCCGATTGAGCTATATAGCTATAAAGACCTATATAGCTATATACACCTATAAATTATAGCTGTATTGAGCTATATTTTCTCAGATTTCAAATTTCATTAAATTAAAGCAAAGTCGCATAAAACAATAAGGTTTATGGTAATGTTGACTACAAAAAGCATACAGTTAGATGTTTATTTTCATTTTTCATAAATGTAAAATTTCCGATTTTTTTACATCATTATTTTTTAAAAAGAATACTTATATTTATGTCTTTTGTTATCAACCTAATGATACAATCTTCTTTAAAAAGCGACTTTGTTTCGTTTTCCTTAAAAAAGAAAATCACTTGAAAATAGCTCAAAAGACCTATTTCAGATAGGTCAATAGAGCTATTATAGGTCTTTACAGCTATATAGCTCAATCGGCAGAGTGTACTGGACCTGTAATTGGGGTCTTTAAATGTAACTTATAAAGCAATTTGAAATTGGGGATGACATATATTCTTGGTGGCTTGTGGAACCTTAATGTAGGTCTACATGATTATCACACTAAGATACTATAAATTTAAAATGCTTGATTTGTATTTATTTTTAATATAATTTAATAAGTAAATTAGAGATTGAACTGCTCCCTTCCTCTATACATGTATATTAAACTGAAAGCTGCAAACTTAAGATGATAATGCAATCGCACACATCATAAATCATCTATCATATCAATTAGCTTTCAGTGGGATGTGCCGAATATGCCTACCTGTGACACGAGACAAGCATGCCATAGACACAGTAATACACATTATCAGCTAGGCCCTACACCGTGAAAAATAAGTTTATTTTAGTAAACGGATAACATACAAAAACGCATTAAAATTGATGCATAACCACTCAAAAATACCACACGTTAATAAAGCACCTGTTGAGGTAGTTATGCACGTGATTAGCTTCCGAACATTGCATTTGTTGACATTGAAATGTGATCGCCCCCTCTCATTCGTGATGTCAGCTGACCAAACTGTCAACCGGACCTCGAGCATTTATTGTCCCTCCCTCAATAAATCATACCTTTGTGTACAGCTCAGTGGCCGACATTTTGCGACGTGACCTTTCCTATATTGTATCTTCAATTTTTACAATCCTAAGTCATTTTGTTTCCGAGCGTGCACCTAGAATGTGTTCAGTCTTGACGTAAAATTTTGACGGACGCCATATTGGATAACTGTTGTTCTCTAGAGCTTTCCGCCCACCGGGTTTATCAAACACGCTCTGATTAGCATAGACGCTTCCCAAATGTCTATATATCACCTGGTGAGAGGCAAGCGTTCTCAAGAGTTATATCTTTCGGAATGCGTCGTCTGTTGACCATCTTGACAAATCGATGACTCAATATACCATCACACGTTACACTTATCAATGCATAATATGTGTAATACCTGAGGCATTTCGAGGCGGCGCGATCATATCAAAATATAGGTGACACTGTAATAATCAAAATCAACAACGCCCTAAAGCGGACACGTGGACTGTGTCGTGTATTTTGACAAAAGCGTGTAAGGGCAAATAAAAGAAAACAAATAAAGGTCTTTCTAAACTTTACTGATTCATTAAACCATGGACTTAGATAATTCCGTGATTAAACAAATAATTATAACAAAGCCTTTCCTTTGAAGTAACTAACACACCTGACAGAAGATAATTTCATTTGTTACGTTCAGTGTCTGTGTTTTACGATAGAAAATGAATAATTAGCATTTTTGAGATAATGTACTCACTTATAGTAAAATGAGCGATTAGGGATTTTATTTCTAAATCGTGTGTTTTCTTCATTTTCGGCCGTACTGTACATACATAGACGTGTTTACTTCTATTTTCTGGTACATACAGACCAAAGTGCCCGGACTAAGGAAGTGAGCGAAATCCAGGGCTAGAATTGTGAGGGTGTGTTTGAAATGGATAGCTTAAAACGTCTTTGTAAAAAACCCATTTAATTTATAATTTTAGACGACACACATTTTCCTTCATCCTCATTGGTTCGATGATTCTGTCTGACAATTTTTAGAAATTTTATGACGTCATTTCTTAACGTCACAATTCTCACCGCCAAAAGCAGAAAACTAAGTATTTTACATACTAGAATAAAGCATCTCTTCCGTGTCGGTTGTGGCTACCATCCCTCAATGAAAAACTATAGCTTTGACTGTAAATTAATTTAGACGTGTGCAAACTTTCATCAGATTTTTCGAAAGATTTTGATTATGATGCTGATTTTAAAACATATTTCAAGCGGAGGGCATCATTACGTGTTCCTTTTCCAAGTTCTAAAATTAGTAATTGTGCTTAATACTTTAAATCATATAAAACAATAGCACATTTTCAAAACCAAAAATGAAGTCTTCAATTAATTCAACGAACTTTTACAAGGATGTCCAGAAATTTACAAACGGAAAGCGCAACACGCACAGCATTAGACACAGTTTGGTACTCCAAGGTCCCCTTAGCAGAGAAGAAAGAAGAGGATCCAGAATTTCAAAAAGTCGTCTCTAAACCATCAGATGGGTACACATCGCCCTTGCAATTTCTTAACTGTTTGTTGTAGATTTTATGAATTGGTCCATTAATACTTCAAATACTTTGTGCTGTCATAAGAGAAAAAGTGTCAATCTTCAAAAATTGTCATGATTCAAATTGTTAGCATTGCTAATTTACCATATTTTTGTGAACATACAATATGTTTTCTAAATGTTCATTCAAAAACAAAACAAAAACGGATGGGCGGACAGACGGACGGTAGATGACTGCGGGGCCATTACACATGTATAGCTCCAACTTGTTTAAGTTTCTTACTCCAAAAAAATAAAACATGGAGCTGGCTAAAGAAATGTGATATTGTAACTGTACACGGAATATATTGCAACGTATGACAAGCACAGATTTTGTGCTCAAGCCTAATTTCGTGTACCGGTTATACAGCAATAACAAATTCTTAAACTTAAAGACAATGCTGTTTTCAATGTTTACATTTGACTTTTTGATCGTTTGACTTAATATCCCAATGTGTTGAAAGTTTATTTCAGCCAAGTGAAACCGTTCTTAAAATTTGTATCAACGATACGTCTCTGTTCGGCTTGCCATCATCCTCGATACTTCAGGGATTACGCTAGCGAGCGAAAGTGAGCGTAACCCCTGGAGTATTGAGGATGGCTTGCCATAGTATGGAGCACGTCACGAGGACACGCGGTCAAAGAGAAGACATCAACAAAATAATGTACGATGCCACCGACTCAATCCTCCTTTTTATCTATGGGCAACAATGTCAATCTCATAACCAAACTAGAACAAACGTAGATTAAAAGATTCGATACTTCAGGGCCCATATTCATGAAACCGTTCTCATGCTCAAGCACAGATTTTGTGCTCAAGCCTAATTTCGTGTACCGGTTATACAGCAATAACAAATTCTTAAACTTAAAGCAAAATGCTGTTTTCAATGTTTACATTCGACTTTTTGATCGTTTGACATGATTTAAGTGAATTAATAGAAAGTTGGTTTGAGCACATAATCCCATCCTTGATATCCAGGGGTAACGCTCACATTCGCTTTTGTACAGAGAGCGAAAGTGAGCGTTACCCCTGTATATCGAGGATGATAACATCCATGCTTGAGCACGAGAACGGTTTCATGAAAACGGGCCCAGGGGTTGCTCTCCCTCTGCACAGAAGACTACGCCAAATAATGGGCAAAACGGGAGCATGCTGAACTTGATTCACTTTCAGAGTGGGTCGAATCTACCAGATCCATTATTCAGAAAAGAAGTTCAATGTAGATGTGTGAAATATGAAATGAAAACAAAATACAAGTCTGCATTTCTTGACTCCGATGTCCAAACCACATTCAAGGATCTGCAAGGTAGTTATGTAGATGTATCTGCAGAAAACCCCCATCTAATAAGTTAATCTTTGTCTGCAAACACTATACATTACCTGCTTGTAGAAAGAAGTAGGATTGCTAGATAAGCAAGGCAACCCTACCTAAACAATATTTTGAAATACGAAATCGTAAAATTACGCTTCTGTATCACAATCTTTCTGAATATCCACTTAAAATAAGGATAACGACCTGCCTCGTTTGTATTGGATTACAAAACTTTACAAGAATCCTCATAAACAACGTTTGATTGCAGGTTCTTCTAGTTGCCCAGCCAAGCCATTATCTAAACTTCTCACTACCATTAAATCATGGCTGCGGTATACTCATGAAGTTGAATAAACGGTTTGTAAATTCCGAAGAATCCAAAAGATCTTTTGATCAAAATTGAACATCCTCTTCTAAAAAAAAACTTCTATCAAAACGTTTGACTTTTTTACCATTTACACCACCATTCTTTATATCAAACTGAAGGAACGCCTACGTTTTCTTGTTGTCAGAGCTTTCTTTTCGATTATATATATGGTTGTAAATGGATTTGAGAAGATATTTTGAAAACTACAACAAAGGCAAAAATAATATGAACGAGGACGATATTTTGAGGATGATTGAGTTCATGGTTTACAATATTTCCAGCAGACTGTAGGCATTCACACGAGAACAAACTGTGCCCCTTTTCTGGATTATTTGTTTCTGTTTTCACATGAAACTGAATGATGAGCTTATCAGGACTGGTAACAAAAACCTAGCTAAGTCCTTCAACTTCACATTCAGATATATCGACGATGTGCTGCCTTTGAACAACAAGACTTTCGTTGACCACCTCGATCCTATATTCCTTCCATAGCTTGAAATTGAGGACACCACATACTCTTCTGTATCAGTCGCATTCCCCGATCTTTACTTACAACAAGACCAAAAGGGACGGCAAACTACTATGCTGTACGATAAGCGGGGTTCGACTTTCCCATTTCTTGATAGCAACATCCCTGCTTCCCCTTCTGACGGTGATTGTATTTCGCAGTTGATACGATACTCAAGAGCTTGCTCCGAATATCACGACTGCCGTGATAGATGTCGACTGCTGACAGACCAACTTACATTTTTTATAGTGTTATGAGAATATCTTTAAAACGTTTTAAACGTTACGTTCTGTGACCTTTTGATGTTTTTGTTCAAGTGAGTATAAGTGATCAAGCAAACTATCTAATAATACATTTAGTTCGTGTGCATGCCTTAGCAGTTTATTGTCAGCACTAGCGTGGCACTTACTGAACATTTTATGAGGTCCACATTTCAGGCACACACAGCTTTGACATTCGCTCGACAAAAGGGATGTGGCACAAACAGATCCGCACCCTGTAGTCCGTATATATGTTTTATACATAAATCGAATGTGTCGCACTCATTGGCGCTCGACCAAGATTCCGGTAAAACGTTTAGGATCGAGAAAGTTATCTCCCTTTAGCACTAAGATACTTACCCGTTGGTTCAAGAAAGATAAATCCCATTGTATTCCAAGACTATGCTTTACTCCAGAAAAGACCTTTCCATTTTTCGTCGTAATATAACTCAAGCCTGAATATATGTGAAGACTGTGAAACTTTCATGTTCCAAAGCATATGTAGTACTGTTGTAAGTCTTACACACGTGCTTGGTTTGACTGTAATTGTAAGAAATTGTACTAATATAGATTTTGCAGGTTTTTAGAAATCAGATTATAAGATGTTTTGTTAGCCTCCTGCTGGTGAAGAAAAAATTATAAAAAATGTAGTTCGAGCTTCATCACCCCTTGCAAACAACAAAATGATTTCACTTCTTATATTTATGTGTATCTCTTGTGTATTGTGCATGAATATCGCAGACCTGTTGTATCGTACTCGTTCTTATATGCTGTACTTGTGTCACTGTAGGGTATTCTTAACTAACCCGGCTACATTTATATTGATATTGTGTCACTCCGATTATTTTTAAGTTCTTCCTAGCACAGATAGCATTGTCTAATGAAACACATTTTTGTTGTGAAACGCGCTAGGTTTTAACTCGACCATTACTATGTTGTATCAAACTTTAACTGATTAAAATGAAATTATAGACGAACATTTAATCGCTTAAATTTCTATTAACCCTTTCACCACTTTGGACCATAATGGAATCATCCAGATAAATGTATGGTAGAGTCTACTAAAGTCACCTAGGGGTGAAAGGGTGAAGAATTTCATTGGTCTTCGAATCTCTCCCCTCTCCACACCGGATATTTGCGAATTTTCGAGATATCTTCACCGACTCACTTATCTTATTTGGTCGTGTC